GACTCCTTTAAGGAGGGGACAAGATGAGTAAGCTCTTGCAAAGCTATTCGCCTCGCTACAATTGGTATATTTGCAGTGGTATTTGTTTTTGTTATTTGTTTTTCAAAAACAGAGGGGTACCGTTGGTTTCAACCCAATAGGATCTGTTTCAGAACGCCCAGGCATGGATGCAGAAAAGTTTAGTGCTGTAACTAAAAGCAAGAGAAAGCATAGTTTCCACAATCTTGTGTATTGATTTTCCAAGCTTCTCCCAAAGAAATTTCCTGTAGTATCGGGCCAGAACGTCAGTTAAACATTTTGCTATGTATTAATTGTACACAGATCTTGATTTTTCTCTTTGAACACAAGAGGAACTCAAACCTAGGCTGCACATGGGCTCATTAAAGTGTTTATGTGATAAAAAGGAATCATAGCCAAGTATTCTCTTCTGCAATTATCAGTGCGATATGCTGCACTGCAAACAGCTTTAAGGGACATCAGACAGCAAATAGTATTTAATGTAACATTAGTAGAGATGTACCTCCATTACAATTCTCATGTACAAACATGCTATTTAATCCAAAAAATTAGTTTACAAGTGTTCACACGAAGAATTCATTTCCAGGTGGTTATTGTCAAATACTGTCCATTTATCATTGAGATAATGATTTCAAATAAAGGTAGAAAAAGACATTGGCAAGCTGCAGAATTTGATCAGTGTATCATCACATTTCCACCAGAGGCTTTGTAAATTTGATACGTAGACATATGAAATGAAGAAGTTCAAAAATATAATTGAGATGTGATACCCTGTGAGATTGGATAACATATTAAAAAGACCACACATTCATGTTATTGGTGGAATCAAAGGTCTGAAGGATTCATATGCCTGTCCGAAAATATATATAAAGGATATGAAGAAACTGAATAATGCTGTCTCATACTTCAGAGTTGTCCCATCTGAGATTGCAGGGCTATGTTCTACCTGGAATTTCCAAAATAGTCTTCAAATTACTATTACTCACTGAATTGTAACTTCATCTGACAGAAGGGGAAAATAACATTTTCATTTACATCATCATCACCATCACTACCACCACCATCTTCCTAACATTATGTCTGCAGGTGCAGGGTCCATTTTTCAGATTTACAAATGAGATCTTGCATGATCAAACACAGCATCTGGGTTATGTCTGCATTTTGACAGATATGGCTGTAGAGCCATCGGTTGCAATAAAAAGACTGACCGACTTACTTGTTGTCTGGGCCTAACATTGGTTTGCTTTGTGTTTAGCTCAGCACCACCCTGGCGGGTGGGCAGTATCCAGTGGCAACCACTAGAAGGAACAGACCTCACTGCCAACATTTTCACTTACATACAGTACATGAACAGAAATGAACCACAACCCCAGCCATATTCATTGTCTTTGTCTCCCTACAGAACAGATCATAGTCTTCCTCCCCACTTATCAATGTAGTCTTAGTTGAAAGGAGGTCAAGCGGTGGATTGTTGAGTTGCACCCAAATTTAATGCCATTACTCTGTGGATAGATAATAATGTATAGTGGTTAACAGACTGTAAAATTTCAAGACCACCTAAATTATGGAGCTCAGTCAGATGATTTTTATTAGACATTCTCTCTCAGCCAACCTCACTTTGTAACTTGTTTGTATAATAGCAATAGCAATAGCAGTAGACTTATATACCGCTTCATAGGGCTTTCAGCCCTCTCTAAGCGGTTTACAGAGAGTCAGCATATTGCCCCCAACAATCTGGGTCCTCATTTTACCCACCTCGGAAGGATGGAAGGCTGAGTCAACCCTGAGCCGGTGAGATTTGAACCGCTGAACTGCTGATCTAGCAGTAGCCTGCAGTGCTGCATTTAACCACTGCGCCACCTCGGCTCTTATATATAAAATTTGAGGAGACCCCCATATAAAATGGATTTGATTCTCAGAGAAAAAACAAGAAGTAAATGCAATGAATAAATAATCCCATGCCTTTAAAATGTCATTGCTAATGTTATACTGCAACAATCAGATAGAATCAGAAACCTATACCTGAAGTATATTAAAAATAGTTGGACATGCCTATATGTATTTTTTTTTAATTATATTGATGTGCGGGAAGGTTTACAACTTAGAGCTACCTTTGTAGCTTACCTGTCGCAAAATATGGAAAGATACTTTGCTATGTCTGGATTTCTGTGTGCTTTATTAGCAATCAAAGCTTTGCCTTAAGAAAAGGAGGGGAGCACAATGAGGAACTAAAGTATGTTAATTGTCTAATTATGTAAAAACAGGTTTAAGCAGGAACTATGTATACCATAACACATAATACAAAAAACGTCCATTGAAATGTGAGAGGTATAGAAGGAGACATGGCAATAAATAATTAGTATGTAGCGTTCCATCATATAGGGATTTTTAAATTAGTTTCCTATTGCAGATATTCAGTTAGGTGTGGGTTTTGACAGCTTTTTAAAAAAAATATACTTCTAGCCTGCCAGTATAGAACTGTGGCTTTTCCTCTTGGTAGAAATTGTGGTGTACTAGAACAACTATTCAGCCACCCAAACCACCTACAACTAAAGAAATTGCTTCCTGTTATGTTATTACTGAAAGACCGTAACATGACTACAAGCTTCTCCCTACAAAAGGTGAGCAATGCATGCTTAGAACTACAGTCAACAATAGTGTAAATAAGTGCTTTTCTGCTTGGACATCCAAGCTTCATTCATCATCCTGGGTGAGAGAAGTTTTAAATTGTTAATTAGTGCCATTTTAGCTTAAGCTAACAATTCTGACTCGCTTGTTTAATTTTTAGAAGCTACTATATATGAAGTGGTTGTTCCAGTAACTGATCAGGCAGCCTATAAATTGAATAAATTATAATAATAACTTGTTCAGTTTATACGCTACCTTTTCTCTAGGTGCTCAAAACAGGGGCACAGAACAACCTCTACTCCAGGTTTCAAAGCACTCTGTTGAGATGAAAGTCATTCTAGATCAGGATCACCCTCTTATTAGACTTCCCTCTCAACTGCTTCCCTATTCAGGCTCTCAAACAATATCAAAATATCCAAACTTGGATCTGAGGATCCAAACTTGGTCTGAGGATACTATGGCAACCACATATGATTTACCATATATTTCCAGTACCCCCTACTGTGTTTTAGATTAGCAACCCGCAACGTTTTGGGCACCAGTGACCGGTTCCCTGGAGAGTTTTTCTGTGGATCGGACCAGGTGTGGTTTCATGTGCTGTCTGTACCTTGTGGATGGGGCTGTTTTCAGGGCCTGGTTGCTGGCATGCCATGGGCTGTTGCTGGTTCATGGATCAGGGGTTGGGGGCCCATTTTAGATCATCTTTACTTGGAGTAAGTCCTAAAGCTAGCACCCAGTTTTCCCCAACATGAAGCCCCCAGATCTATTGTACTACAATAGAATAATGCTTCTGTTGGGCATATTTCGGTGTTGATAGGTTGGAAAAGAGTTAATTCTAAATCATGACTACAGCTATGTGGGAGTATAGAAGTATGTCTCTTTTCCTGCAGATGGAGAATGGGACCTTGCTGAAGTAATTTTTAAGACTTTAGTGCTTGAAAGTACTGTATAGCTGAAAACTTAATAGAACAGGCTTGTAGACCCTTGTAGCCCTTAATTCTTTATAGAAATATATTTTACGGTAATTTATATTCTATTAAGTAGATCCTAACAGTTTATTTTTGCCCATTCGAGTGCCTTTGGTAAAGTTTTTTCCCCATGAGATCACACCGTATTTTCAAGGAGCTTTTTATTAGTTCTTTTCTTTCCTGACTCATCTTGTATTTCTAAATTTCTAAAGTTCTGTTTTGCTATCTTTTTTTAAAAAAAAGCACAAAACAGTTGGCAAGGGTTATACTTGTCTGTGCTAGCATGGAGGGATGTGGCTTTGGCAGAAACACACACTGCCTGAGGTTCTTTAACTTAGTTTTACAATTTTCAATGGAGAAAATTTGGCTGAGGAAGCACAATTCTAAGAGGTGGGTTTTGCGTAAGTCCACTCAGGGATATCCCTGGTGAGAGAAGGTAAAAATAGCCATGACAACACAAGCATGCAATCAAAAATTCACCCCTTTTTTATCTATGCATGTAAATTGGGGCAGAATTTTCAAGGTTGTGGCTGCCATCTTCCTTTTTTTGGCTCACCTCCAAAAACACTCCTACATCCAATTACAGGTTATCATAAATTTAATTATAACACAGCTGTGTTTTTTTAAAATCTAACTCAAAGAACATTATTAATTGGGAGGAGACAGTGGTTAAAATTGCTTTTGTAAAAATGAAGCCTTTGAGATACCGTTTAGCACGCTACACATAAAATGCAGTATGCTGTTTGAGCTAAGCTATAGAGACAAAAAGCAGGTCCTGGAATGTTTGATAACTTCACAGAGAAGATCCCAAGTTGGAAATTACAATGAGTCAGGGCCCCACAAAATATTTTTGTTGGTTCAGTATGATCCAAAGTGGGTAAGGTCATAAACATTGGCCATTTGTTTGATATTTTGCAAGATTCTTTGGATAATTTAAGGAAGAACATGACCAGTTCAAGATTTGTACCCATTTCACTCTACTTGGAGGCTCCAACTCTATCCAGTATGGGATTATGCAAAGTGCAAATTTAGTGGACCAGTTGTTTTGTAGGTTTATTTGCATTTATACATCACATTTCTACAATATCCGTCTCAATTAAATGACTGTTTTCAAGAGGAAACAGCTCATGTCCCATCGTTAGCTATTGGCATATGCTATCTTGAAAGTATTATTATTATTATTATTTCTTTTTATTATTACTTCTCACAACTGAAAATTAAGCTGTTACAGGCCATTGCATGAAGAGTTACTGGAAAATACAGCCCATGGCTACATCAGTATCTATGGCTAGGGTTATCAGATACAGGCACGTTCCTTGTATTCCTTTTAATAGGCTCATGAATAAATTGTCTACTGTATATCTATATAGAAACAGCAAACACAAAGGCATGCAAAATTAGGAAAATCTTTTAATTGAATAGAAATTTGGCCACAAAAATTTGGTAAACTATTATGTGAAAGCAAAATGTTAAAATGTTTTTCTGTGTCACTTTGCTGCCATCTAATGAGCATTCATTTCTGCAGCTCAGACACTAGTTGAGAGTCACCTTATCTTTAAAATTATTTGTTGGACAAGAGCGCTGGGTAAAGTCCAAAACCAGTGAATATAAGTTTTGCTTTTCATTCTGCCATCCGTTCTTCTCTTGGTCTTCTTTCTTCCAACAGCAAGGAATGTAGGGGAAAAGGAAAAATGGTTTTCTCAGGGTCTAAGTAAATAAGACCTTTTGAGCTGAGTATACACTTATAGGCTGCCTAGTGCTGATATAATGAAACTTAAATTGAAAAAGATTCAATTGAAAGACATTATTTTAAATTAGCTAATTTACACAGCACATTTAAATTATTGAAAACCTCATATGTAACTCATCTATAATAACTCCAAACTGAACCATGAGTAGAAATTATATTCCCACAATACTGCAAGAGGAACAAGAAGCCACTTACAATGCAGAGTCAAGATTTTGCTTTCTTGTTACATATTATCAGCCCATTCCAGAGCTTAGAAAATGAAAGCAAGACTATAAAATCCCAAATACACTTTTGACCGGCTCTTTGATTTCAAATTGCCAAGAAACCAAGAAATTCAGACCAGGCGCATTTTATTTCTTCATACTTGTTGCAAGGAAAGCCCTGGCTGTTTTCCCATTTAAATATATGAAATAAATTTGTCTGCTTTTCCTAAGCCTTTGCAATTCCAACAGATCTCCACCCATATTGATTAGGATTTGTAGCCCTAACATATCTGAAAGGGACGAAACAGATAAGAACTGGCTCAAATTGTGTTGAAATTGTATTCTTATAAGAGTCTTGCTGATATCTGATGACTGGCTTGTAATAAGCCTCTAAAGAAAACCACTTAGGTAGTGGAATTCCACTGAATTAAAATTCAATGTAATCTATTTACTGAATTATAAATTCCCATGTTTTCTATGGCAGATAAACATTCTTCTCTTGTGAATTTTTAATTCATTGCCAGCACAGTCTCGTCTGAGTGATCCTACTGAGTTTCAGTTTCTTTCACACCTTCTTCAACATAATCTGCTGCTAGATTCATTCGACATTTCCTGAGAGTTTTTATTAGATCCTCCACCTTTGCTTCCTTTCCTTTTGATTTTTGCCATTCTATGAGAGTTTGCATCAATTGTTCTTGCAAATTGTAGGGATTAGCAGTCATAATCCTCTCTATCTTGACATCTGAAATTCCAAGTTTTCGAGCAAGCATTCTCCAGTCCCTTCCAACATGTTCACATATGATTTCAAAAGCTCTCTTCAGTTTATCTAGAAAGAAAAGCATGCCACATATCAAATAGATGAATTGCAGTGGGACATATATGCATCATCTGTTATGTATCAGTTTTATCCCTTCCTTGTCGTTCTCTGAAACTCTCGCTGCTTAGGGGTTCAATATTATTAATTATTTTTAAAATTCTGTTTCAATTTCGAATATGGTAAATATTGATAGCTATAACCCACATTGCTTGTCCCAGCTTCTGCCCACCTAACAGTTTGAAAGCACGCAAATGCAAGTAGATAAATAGGTACCACTTTGGTGGGAAGGTAACAGCATTCTGTGCACCTTTGTTTATAGTCATGCTGGCCACATCATCACATTAAGTGTCCTCGGACAACACTGGCTCCCTCAGGTGGGGCATGGCTATCAGAAACATTAACATGGGGCTATTCATGTTCTCTTCTTCAAGTTTTCTGGGAATCTCAGAAATTTTGTTCTTAATCAACACCCTTCAATTGCCCTCTTGGGCAAGATTTTGCACCCTTTTGGGAGATTCGTTCAAATTAAACAAGTGAGATTCATTACAGAACTACCACAATGATGATTTTAAATTTATTAAACGTAGTCCTTGAGTTATGACTAGTTGTAATTAATGTCAGTCGTAAGTTGGGTCACCCATGTCATTGATCTCTTTTATGATCTTTTCTGTGGCAGTCACTAAGCAAATGCTGCAGTTGTTAATGAAACCAATGGTTCGCAATGGGCCCGGTTTTGCCAAAAACTGGAAGTAGACACCATTTTTCAGTTGTCATAAAACATGATGTAACCGTGGGACAATGCAAATGGATGTAAATACAGCCTAGTTGATGAGCGCCTGGTGTGATCACATGACTGCAGGGGGGCAGCGACCATCGGAACTTCTAATTTAAGTCACATGGGCCCCCAGGGAGATCCATCAAAACTATGAATGGTCACAGTGTGGTCAGTATTAAATCAAGGCCTATCTGTACAGCTTCTCCCTCCAAAAACTGAAACCTATTGTTCCCAAAGTTTCCAGTTACATTTTTTAAATATATAAAACTCCTGAGTAGAACTGAGCAAGGTGTAAGGGCTGCAGTTACTTAATAATATTCTTTCTCCTATGTCTCTCTTCTCTCCTGCAGGTACCTGAGGGACAAGAGAACTCTAAGTAAGGGAAGGTGGGATGAGGTGCCAAGAACCAACAGTTAATATGGAGCAGCTTGTTTGGATAGAAGCAATTTGCCTTTTGAACAAGACACCTTAGACTTACACATTCCACAGAGTATTCCTGACTCTTATATTTCACAAAATAACCCCAAAGTGTCCTATAGCACCTATAGATCAACCTTAGTGGCCTGAATTATTTACCAAAAAATAAATCCCCTCATAACCAATGGGAAACATTGCAAAGTAGTGTAGGGAGGACTGCAGCCCTGTTCCTCAAGGTCCAAAGCACCTCTTTTTTTTCAGATCAAAAAATAAAAAGAGCAACCGACATTTCTGGTTACCCTCTAACTGATGATCTGGATCACCATCCACTGTTTTGACATACTGCTCCAGTTGGGTTAGTAGATCTTCTCTTTTTAGATTTTTGAGCATCCATCTCAAGAACTCTACATCATTGTACGCAATTTTTTCTTGTTCCAGGAGAATCGTGAAGAGCTCAATGCCACTGCTCACATCCTCCAGTTTTTTTTTACCAATATGGCCCGCGCAAAGAAATTTAAGTTCTTTCAGCTCCGCGGGCGACAACGCCCTTGAAAAGGAGTGCAGCAACTCCAGAAAGGGATCCATTCGCGGAAACCTAGAAAGAATACAAAGAAGGTTTAGAAGTTTTTGTCCGAAGTCAAACTCCAAGCACAGTTTAAAAAAATTCTCTCTCTCTTTAATGCCGATTTTCTCTTTTCCGGAGTCTGCAACTTCTGGCTATTACAATTCCCGAACAAGCAGAATCCTAAAACGAAAACAAGTTTTTGAAAAACTTCCGCACGACTACTTTTTAAGGCGAAACGGCCTCTTTCCCTCCGGCCAACTAGTCTGCAGACTTCTACTTTCACAATGCATCCTTTAATGACATAGAAAACTTTTTTGAACTTTTCTAAAGTTGCTGTAGCTAAAATTTTGCGCGATCCTGGCGAGATATGCTCATTTTAAGAATCTGGATTTTTTTTTAAAAAAAAAAGAGTAAAACCTTGAGACTTACTTCCTGCTTTCCCGCGACTTTGCCTCTCCCAGGCGTCACAAGAGGAAGAGGCTGCCCCTCCGGAGTGCGCTCCGCCCCGAGTCTTTTTCAAGGGGCCGCTCCGGAAGGTGGCGGTGCTGCCCAGCTTTTCCCACCAATCCGTTAAATCCGCGCACACCGTTTGATTCCGTAGGCGTTGGAGGTGTTGCAGACGTACAGAAGAGTCGAGA